TGGGGGGGTGGAAAAAAGTAAACAGTATGCTGCTTTTCATTGAGAAACGTTTTAGGGCCCATTGACAACAGCCGATGCGCTACATTGCACAGTGCTGATGTGTCAATCCCGGCACTTTGCACTGTTACTTTTTTTTTAGAATTGAACTGAAATGTCACAAGTAACATTTCATGCTTTCCTGTCCATAGGGTCTTTCAAAGCCCCCATATCCTCCATATCCAGACAACACTGTCGAGATGCACCCAGCTGGCTGATTGACAGCGGGATCTGCCTATCTAGAGGCAGAGCCAAATCGATGTCCCTGTGTAGCCGGCGGAAACACAAAAAAACTGACTTGGGATGGAAGGAGGAGTCTATTTATTTAATGTGGTTGATGTGTTTCCTGTTGCAGGCAGGCGGAGCCTATATCTCGATGGCTGTCCTGGAAGATGACTGGGGAAAACTATGGGGTAGTCTTTTTTATCCCAGAGTTCTCTTTAGGGTCACGGGAGGACATATACTAACCTCCCATGACCCAAAGCTCAGTATAAAGCGGGCTATTGCCCGCTATATAGTGAGAGCGCCGCAGCTGGGACGGATCCAGACAACACTGTCGAGATGCACCCAGCTGGCTGATTGACAGCGGGATCTGCCTATCTAGAGGCAGAGCCAGCTGTGCCCGCCCCCTCCGCTGTCGGTTCCTCCACTCAGCACTGGAGGGTCGGAAAGGGGAGGGGGGAATCCCTGCGGGAAGCGGTGACTGACAGTCAGCACTCTCTGCAGGGAGATGATCGGAAAGTGAGGGAGCGGCGGTATGTGTTTAGAGCCGATGTGTGACAGTTTAAATAGGACCTTAAGACTTGAACAGACCAAAAGGGTAAAATAAGAAAAGTTCCTTGTTAGTGTTTACATACACTTTAAGCTGATCGCTGCGGTGTTCTCCTGAAGTTACATTAAAGGTAGGAAAATTACCTGTAGGTTATTCGGTTCCACTAATTTCGAGATCCTGGCACTTGGTGGTCCCATGTTGAGGATAGTACACATTGTGGCTTTGTAGTTCCGAGCGGATGAGGGTCGTGAAGACTTGCTTTCAACTAAAAAAAATAAAAATACATATTGACACAAGCCACAGTCTACCCTCCCCGCACACCTCCCCACTACTTTGCTATCCCCAAAATATTGTCTAAATACCAAAGACTGCACAGTAAGTAGCACTTATGTGATGTAATATTCCTTTCCTGTCCAATGTGGGTGGGTTTGAACAGCACTTTTAGTCCCCACATTAGGCCACGCGGCGTCACCATTGAACTACATTTCCCTGCATGCCATGCTCTGATGTTGCTCAAGGATGCCAGTGAAGAAAGCGAATGGGTGTCAGGCCAAACACTACTGGGTGACAACTGTCAATCAATGCTATGGGTGTTACTGGGCGCTTATGATTTGGCTCACCGGCGCTTGTAGTAACAAGTATGGAGATTCAGTTAGAGAGGGACAGATCGAAAGCAAATAACTGTTGTGCTCTCGCAGATTTAAAAAAAAAAAGACTCAATAAAGAGACAATAAGGCCTCATTCACATAGCTAAGTGTCGGCCCGTACAGATCCGTGCGGCATGCACGGCCGTACCCAAAAAGGACAGGTGCTGCGTGTAATTGTACGCAGCAGCCTGTTCATCTCTATGGGAGTATGTGGCCGTACGCTCACCCGAACTGCACATCCGTGCACGTGCGGGTGTCCGTGCTCGGACGCACACAGGATCCATCCTGTGTGTGTACGAGCGCGGACACCTGCACCTGCATGGATGTGCAGTTAGGGTGAGCAGCACCTGACACTCACACGCAGCACCCGTCCTTCCCGGGAACGGCCCGGTACGGCCGCTCACACCGCACAGATCTGTACGGGCCGACACTTAGCTGTGTGAATGAGGCCTAAATGTGTATTTGTAAAATAAACATTTGATATAAATAGTGTACAAAGACAATATCAGTTTAAAGACATAACATCTTTAAAAAACAATTTGCCATAAAATGATTCCTAAACATTATTGTTTGCCTTTAATATGAAGAGAAAATCCACTGAATGCTATTTAAACCTAAAAAAAAAGCTACATCTCACCTAACAGCCAGCAACGTGTGGGGAAAACGGAATGTTTGTTGAGTGTAACCATTATCTGAGTCAGCAAAAAAAGTTCCATAGTTCCATAATGCAATGTAGGATATCAGCACTTTTATGGGTTGCCTATCTTCTCACCTTTCCTTGGTGTTGTGTCTCCATCACGGGGTGTCCGAGGAGAGGCTGAGCGTTCCGGAGAGGTCTCAAGCTGGCTGCCAAATTGCTGACGTCTGGCCCGGCTGTTTGCGTTCATTCTCTCAGCAGCCATCTTGGCACATTGATCGCAGGTATTGAAGAACACGTTGCAGAACTGGAGAGAGTAAACAAACCCAGTAAAGTCTACAGACGGCTATGGAAAGTCAGGATGGCCCATAAGGGAGAGCGTCAGCTAGGTTTAATAGGTTAAGTTGTTTTTTATTTGCCAAAGTGAGGGCGACAGGAGTATCCAACGCTTTTTGGGGGTTTACTACTTCCTCTCCATCTGGGCTTTTAGTAAAAGAATAGGTAGAACACCGGACCAGGAGGGAATGGCGAAAAGGAATCGTATAATGTGTAGGAAGGCCCGTTCATGGTGTTGGTTAGACAACCTTACACTTGTATAGGTGTGTGAAAGCAGATGGCAGTATAAGCTTCTATCCTATTACAATAATTGCTTTGTGTGTTTGAGGATCACTCAGTCATTGCGTGCGCACAGAACAGTTTGCATCCCATAATGCAGTGCAAGTGTCTCTCCACAGGTCAATTATTGAAGGTTCTGAATTAGGTTTTGGACAGAGAGCGGAAGGTGGAAAATCTCTCATAGGTTGGGTTTAGTGTTTCTGAACCCAAGAACAAAAATGTAATATATTGCCGCTTAGCAGTACTTAGATGTGGTGGCTGCATTTGTTTTTTCCAGGTTTCTATCATTTATTTTCACCTGGTGATCCTGCCAGTAAAACATTTTCTGTCCTAGAGTGACAAAGCTCACTCACCTTACTGTGTCTATAGAGTAAGAGCAGCCTGGAGGGGGGGTACTCTGTAGTTCACAGATAGAACTGGAAAAATGAGCCTGTGAGATAGATAACATACTCAACTATCCCCAACTTTCATAGTGTTGGGGGGGTGACCTCATCCTCCTGCAGACAAGATCCCTGGTAATGCTGAGTAGCCCAAAAGATCAACATTCTCCAAGATCTAACGGGAAGGATGATGTCGTCACACTCACCAAGGTGCCGTGGAAGGCAGCTGGGGAAAGGTAAGCATATTATCTAACTCCCCCCTCCACACACGGGGAAGGGGGTACCTTGATTAGGCAGACTTTGCTGTTGAGGTGCAAGGTCCGCTTTTAGGTTTGTGTCCCCAGTGGGGGAATTTTCCCTCACTTCAAGACAGAAAGGAAAAAAAGAACTCTCCAGTCTGCAACAAAATACTTTTTTTTTTTTTGCAAACTAGGAAATGGTTCAAAAACCCATCAAAGTATTATTACTGTTCGAGTCTTATTGTCCCAATGACAAGCAACTCCCTTATTTCTTGTCCTGGTGTCAAAAGTAAAATGTCCCCGTCCTTAAAGTTTGGCTTTAAGGTTAAAAAAAACTGATACTTCAGTTCTGTATTGTTTATGTTAAGCTAAATCACATTTTGATTGTGTATATGTCTGAAGGACTTCATTGGCAAAATAGCAAAACGCCCAGTTACCCCTAACTGCCACAGTCATTACAAAGCAAAATGAAAGTGTTGCACCTCTTCCAGTTATTCTGTAAAATAAAAAAGTAACTGGGGAATCCGGGTGCCTTGTGGGAGAAGGTGGAGACACAGATACTGGGGGTAAGCCCCCCCCACAGAGTTATTAGTATTTATCCCTGTCATTCAACCCCCCCTGGTGCCATTCCAATTTAAAAAAAGTTTCCATTAAAGAGACCCTCTCACCTTGCCCATATAGAGCAAAGCGACAGGGTCTGGTAACCCCCTCCGCCCCAACCATCTTATACTTACTTTCACAGTGTTCCCCCATTACTGCATCCTCATTAGCAGCAGCTACATAATCTCCAATGTTGATGCTTAGAAGCAGTGGTAACAACGCCCCTCTATCGTGTGACTGGGGCCTATTGTTTGGCTACTAGGTCCGGGCACTGTATTGTAGGATGAGTTCTCATGCTCCAATTTACCCGCTCCTAGTATTCTGCAATGGCAGCCCTAGATGAATGAGGAGCAGGGAAGCAATATGAAGGTGAATATAAGTGGATTGGGGTGGTCACTTTCACTTTAGCACGAACCAGTGAGGTAACAGGGTCTCTATACCCATGCGTGGTATAGTAACGTCAGCTTCTGATGTCCCCGCCCAAACTACCAACTAACCCTCTGTTGTGGAAGAATTTGGAATGAATCTGACTTATAGTCAAGAGGGACATAAGCAGCAAATGAGGTTCATTCACATGCGGTGAACGGACACAGCCCAAAAGCAAAACACAAATACATGCAAACCGTCCAGCTACACTCCTGTAAAAGCGAAACGTCTACCTTACTTACCTTATTGTAGTCAAGCTTGCCGCCGCTGTTCACATCAGCTAAACGAAGGACCGCGTTCAACTCTTCCGGCGACATCTTCTCCCCTTTCTGCGAACAACAAATGATCCGCTTTACATTTCGATAAATAAGAAATTTCAAAGTTCATTCATCTCCACAGAACCGGCAGCTCATATAAATATTTAATCATGGAAAATTGAAGTGACAATGCTTGCCCATAGATGCAAAGATATATACATACACATCGTGACTGGTGTGTGATAAACAGCGACGCTCGTGGTATTAGGGACGCACACAAATCAACAAACTGCAAAATAATTCTGAGAGATGCCATCTATAATGAATAAGAGGAATGAATAAAGGATGGCCGCTTCTGCATAACCTCCCACTGCCTTCTCTACCTATGTTTGGGGGTCAAGGCTGATTGTACGTAATGCAAAGATTATGGCAAACTTCTTTGCAGATCTGTAACTGCTTCTGTTCTCCAGCTACTGAAATATGTTATTGATGTAACTTCCACAAACAGATTGCTGATAGAACCTCAGTCACAGTGCTGTAAAAAGAGAAACCAATGCATCTTTGTATACCTGTGGATAACCTTGGCCAACGAAAACTATATAGCCAATTGTTTGTGTACCGTTGACCATCACACCTACCTATATGGCCAAAAGTAGAGGTGCACCAAAATAAAAATTTCAAAACCGAAACGAAACCGAAATAAAAAAAAATGTCAGGCCAAAACCGAAACTGAAAATGTTTTTTATTTTAACTTTTTCAAATTTTTTCAAATATTTTATTTATTCATTTTTTTATTAAATATTTTTATTTTTTACTTTACTTAACTTTTAGGGGCTTTGGGGAAATATTAGGGGTCTAAACAGACACCTGATATTTCCTTTGCAAAATAGAAAAAATGATTGAGAACACAGAGTCCTCAATCTCTTTTTCTGTATCCCCAGTTATAAATGAACAGGAATCCTCTATACTGAGTGTTCCTTTCCATTCATAACATGAGGACAGAGTATGTTTACTATAACTACAATCATGAAAGGACAGGAGGTGATGTAGATCACTTCCCATTCATTCATAATTGAGGCTATAGTAACCATACTCTGTCCTCAATTATGTACAAACACTCAACGATCACTGGGTGTTTGTACCTCGCTCTCCATCCTGGCAGCTGTCACAGGAGGCTGAGCGAGCGGTGCAGGGAGGAGAGACGCCAGCCGCTCACAGCGCTCTCCTTTTCTGTTCCAGCATTACTGTGCTGGCTCCATAAAGGCACGGTTTCATGAGTTTGGTGTGGAGGAACTCGTGTGTCCTGCACAGAGCCCTGACCTCAACCCTACTTTGTGATGAACTGAAATGCTCATAGCAAAACCAGATTTTGTTGGGTTGAATGGACACAAATTCCCACAGACACACTATAAAATCTTGTGGAAAGACTTCCCTGAAGAGTGGAGGCTGTTATGAATGTCCATCAAGTTCAAAGTCGTGCAATGGTCAGGTGTCCACAAACCTTTGGACATACAGTGGTACCTCGGTTCTGGTTGCGAAACTAATTGGTCGCATACCGAATCAAATTTCCCCATAAGGTTGAATGTAAATGAGGTTAATACGTTCTGAACCATATGTAAATTCATTACCACTCTGCACATTCTTGTCACTTTCATTACCGCTCCGCACTTTCTTTTCACCACCATGCTTGCTCTGCACTTTCTTTGCAGCCATGCTAGATTGAATAATACTGCACAGTACTGTATGTGCTAAAAAGCACACAAAAAAGCTTCACAGCAACTGTGAAGCTACGTGGCTAGAGGAAGCCACGACCACGTGCCAGAGCGGGGAAGATGGCCGCGGTCATGTTGATCACCCGATTTGAAGTTCGTGAACGGAAGCAAAATTTTGCCGAACTTCCTGTTCGCAGACCAAATTGTTTGCGAACAGAAGCGTTCGTGTACCGAGGTATTACTGTGTTGTGTACTTCCCTTTAGAAAATATTTTTTTTAAACATTAGATTTGTCCTGATTATTATAAAGAGAACAAGGAAATGTATAGGACATATTTTCTATTACATTTTTTGACCGCATGACCAAATAGCGCTGCTTAGTCTACCATCTGGTCAAGCCACTGCAAACTCTTCTTTACATCTTCTTTGCTCCTGCAGAAAAATCCCACTGATTCCTAATGGAGAGTCTGTCCACTGCCAAACCTCAAATAGATGGACTCTCTGTAGCCTTGAACTGGATTTTACTGCAAACAAGCATAAGAAAAGGGGGCTGTGCGGCTCCCATTAGGCTATGCACTGCAGTTCTGACAGGAGCGTGGACAGGTGAGTATAAGAATTTGAAGGGGTGCAATGCAAAGGATAACGACACAAAAGCACAGGTATTCTTCAAACTCTTTTCTTCTGTATATGTAATTTATATATTTATAGAAGGTGATCATAACCCACACCTCCTTAATGTCCTCTTCCTCAGGGTGTATACATTCAATTAGTCAATCCCCATAGCCGAGGTCCTCTGTGTCCCTGATTAATTTCCTTTCCCTTCTCCGCACCATTTCCTGTTCCAGGACATCCTTTTCGTGAAGTGACAGTCTTTCAAATTATCAGATCAATGTTATGCTAAAAATTCTTGGTCATAAAAAATACATAGAATACAAGGTCGAGTCCTTTCCAGAATCTCGATTTTAATAATAATTTTTAGTTAAAGCTGAACTCCAGGCACAAATTTTAAATCATTACAAAAATAAATGTTTTACCTTTAGCAAATATGTAATTTATTGTGATTCTAATCCTAATGCCACTGCAAATGAGCTCCTTGTATCCTGCATAATAAGGGCATTGTGTCCCGCATTTCCTGCTTGCATGACCAGTGGCCGCTATGCCCGCTCCTTCCCCAGGCCACCAGTCATGTCACATCCCTGCTGTTCTATTTTTTCCACCGGCGTTATAATCACATCACCACTGGCTGTAGTGGAACGGTCCGGGAGTCTCAGGCTCCCAGTCTGTCCCAACCACTAACAAATGTGGACAGCAGAGCAGTGTGCAGCAATGTGGTAGAAGTCAGAAGGCTATAACTGCAAAAAGTTTCCCGGCACACTCGCCAGCCAACATGCAAAAAAAACCTGTCTAACCACTAAGGTTAAAAACAGAGGTTTGGATACACGTCTTCTGCAGAAAATGTGAAAGCCGCACAGCCACACCAAGGCACCTCCATATAGTGCAGTCCTAACTCTAAACTAGGAGAGTCTCCATCTTGGAGCACATGGGGCAGAAGATTAAATTGGGTGCAGGTTTGTCAGGACGCACAAGGGACCCCATACATCACAACGGCTGCTGAGATCAACGAATTGATGAGTGTGTTTGCCATTTGTTTTGCTTGACTGATTTGATGCAGTGACGCATGGTGCGGGATCCCTTATGCGTCCCTGTGCCTTTAAGGGAGGTTGGGCTTCCTCCTGACAAACCTGCACCCAATTTAACCTTCTACCCCATGTGCTCCAAGATGGAGGCTCTCATAGTCTCATAGTCTCTTTGAACGTCCAACAGAGCTTATCTTTTACTAAACTAAATAAAGACAATATAATCTTTAGTTTTAACAAAAAAAATTAATACATGGGGCTCTCTAATCGCTATGGGATCGCGTGAGCACAACACGCGATCCCATCAATCAGGCCAAAAGCCATTGAGTTTAGGTCAAAAGTGAGTTTGCGCTCTTCCAACCTTGTAGGAACAGTTTGGTGAAGACCTTCTTCTATTCCAGCATGGCTGTGCCCCCGTGTACAAAGCCAGCCATAAAGGCACGGTTCGATGAGTTTGCTGTGGAGGAACTAGAGTGTCCGGCACAGAGCCCTGACCTCAACCCTACTGAAAACCTTTGGGATGAATAGAAACACCAACAGTGAGCCAGGTCTTCTCATCCAACATCAATCCCTGACCTGAACCCTACTGAACACCTTTGCGTTGAATATGAACACCAATTATGAGCCAGGTGTACTCAAACAACATCAGTACCCAACCTCACAAATACTCTTTTGGTTGAAAGGACATAAATTCTCCCAGACACACCTCAAAATCTTGTGAAAAGCCTTCCCAGAAGCGTGGAGGCTGTTTGAGATGCAGTGTGGGGCCGACTCCATTTGATGAGGTATCCAACAAGCTCATATAGATGTGATGGCCAGGTGTTTGCAAACCAATTTCCCATATAGAATACTTCACTTTATAGAAAAATATTCTCAAAAACATTGTCCTGACCATAACAACGAGAAATAAAATATGTACTATACTTCTCATTTTAATATAGTACTTTTTTGATCACATGACCAGATTTAGTTCACCATCTGGTCATGTGACTGGCTATTGTAGCAATCCCCAGCAACATCTGGTAGGTACCTCAGTCTATTCTCAGCCTTTTTTTTACCTCAGCAAGACTGGTGCCATACAGTTATCTTAACATTCAGCTATAGGCCAGCTTTAAGAATGGAACATTTGGAGGAACTGCAGTACATACTGTGGTCAGGACTTTATGAAGGTCGTCGTGTAGAACATATCCTTTGTTCCCGGGATCCAGTTTTCGGAAAGCTTTAATAAGATCGGCCTTTGCGGCGGGCTTCTCTCTTTTTGCGATGGCACAGAAATCATCGAAGTTTAATTCTTTGGTCTTTGCAGTCCAGTACTTGTTGAGAGTCTTCTTTGATGGATTACCTCCGGCCTGTTGGAGAACTGTACAGAGGGAGAGAAGAAATGGTTAGATGTGCAAGGTGCAGGAAACCTGTTCAGTAAGGCTAGGTTCACATTATGGCGATCCGTGACTGCGCGCCAATTGTGCACGAACCTGCACGGTCACGGAATCTCCCACCACCACCATTATTTTGTAATGGCACCCCAGTCGCATCGGGCAGATCTCGTGGTTTCCCACCGAGATACCGCCCGTGCAATCGCGGCTCAAAAAAACGCACGTTGCATGTACCTTTTTTAGCGATTGCCACGTGGCCCCATTGATTTCAATGAGGTTACATCCTGCTGTGTGCAATCGTGCGGTCCTGGGATCACCGACATCTGAACCTAGCCTTAAACCTTACGCTAGATTTTATACTTAACCTGCTTATCAGGGGCGCCCTGAGGTCGCGTGTCACCCGGTCTCTAGACCGGGTGACACCTTGCAGTGTCGTCATCGCACGCGACGACATCATCGCGCATGCGCAACAATCTTATGATGCCTGCCGGCGGCCATCTTGGTGATGGACGCCGGCAGAAAGAGGAGGGGAGGTTCACCTGGCTGGATGACGTATGCCGCCGGGTCTCCTCCTCTCTTCTGACACTGTCGGGCTCTCGGTCCATGACCGAGTGCCCAACTTTTTAGAGGGGGGGTGACACCAAGATCACTGTCAGTCATTCTGGTGTTACCTCTGCAATGGTGACACCCGGGTGTGGGCCGCACCCCACGCACCCCCCTTGTGACGCCACTGCTGCTTATATTTTGCCTTCCCTGGTTCCTCTTTTCCCACCTCATCAACCTCATGACATTTTTAAACAAAATATTTCCATACCTTATCTGAGACCCATTAATGTTATCATTGTGCTTCTCTATGCCATGCAGGAAGATCATGGCTGATGCAGGGTCAGCAGGGTGTTGTACATAGCTTCTTGAAAACATCTCAGCACCCTGTCTCAATACTCCTCTGAAGAGCCATCCTCCCAGATGCAAGCGGGTGGAGGTCTCTTGGGAGGAGTTATGCAAATATGTATTAATGGATGGCTGTCAGTCTGTGGGCATTTGCATGCCGACTGCCCTAGGTAATGCCCACATGTGATGCTGACATAACCTAAATCCAATGAATGAAAGGGGTGGGCCAGGCTGGAAAGAAAAGGGCTAGGTGATACTGGATTTCCTGCAGCCAGCTTTCTTCAGCTTTTAATGCACATTGCGAGACGCTCACAGTGAAAACAAACTATAAACTATTTCGGTCCAGGAGAGGAGCCGGTGCAACTGTACAAGACTGAAGGGAAGGTCGGAGTTCAGCTTTAACCATGTACTCGTAGTTTTCCACCCTTTTAAGATACTACAACTCCCAGCATGTCTTCCTTGCCACAACAGGTTTACTTTCAAATCATCTTTCTGAAATGTATTTGGTAACGTGATCCTCGTCCTGTAACAGCATACGCCGCGAATGATATACCGGGGAAATTGTTATCATTCCATCACTTTGTCTCGTGAGAACCCGGGCCCGGATGGCCTGTCCTCCTAACCACGGTGACCCGGGATCCAGGGATACATTTCCCTGCAGATGATGGGGATTTAATCTTCATTTAACGATGGGAAATATTTGGTATTCTAACGGCCTGTTCCAGGCGACCTTGACACCGGCGCTTTGCAGAATCATAATTGGTCAATTGCTTAAGTGGTTCGTGGAAGGAGATGAAAGACATAACAACCCGAAAGGAGATAACATTTGTTCTCGCCGCTACTATTTTTGAAGCGGGATTATGAGGAACCTGCCATTAGCGGCTGGGGGGGAAAATCTTCTGCCATAATGTTGAAAGCCTTCATTAGGCTAAGCACATCTGCTGAATGTGACCGCCTGTTAAACTAGCCATGGCGTAATTAGGATATCACGACTGAAAAAAATCCAACATGTCATCAGGATTTATCTCTCCGTCAACGCGGCAGAACGACGCAGTTTAACTCTCGCCGTGCTGGCTGCCTCCAGTAGACCTCATCGCACACCGATAGGGGAGCTGTGTCCCTGGCTGGGATCTTTCATCAGTGCTGATCTCAGGTATGTAGATAAGTTTCAGTTATAGATCAGTTCCATCAACAAGGAAAAACAATCAATCAATAAATGAGATAATAGTAATGCTACAAAAAAACAAAACCGCACTTAAAGGGATGCACTGATACCAATACTAGTATCGGTATCAGTGCCGATACCGAGTATTTGGCCGAGTACTCGCCCAAATGCTCCGATACCTTTCCCGATACCGGAACATCTGGTCAGAGGAAGATTTCCTCTGACCGGCAGTGCCGTAGGGGAACATGGAGCCAGCTACAGGTGCGATCAGGAAGCTGGATGGAGAGTAATGACCTGCCCCCCGGCTTCTTGATTGGCCGGGAAGCTGGCTCCATGCTGATTGGCTGGGAAGCCGGCTTCCCGGCCAATCAGCATGGAACTGGCCGAACAGCCGGCTCTTTGCTAATTGGCTGGGAAGCCGGCTTTCCAGCCAATCAGCATGGAGGCGTCTTCCCAGCCAATCGGGAAGCCGGGAAGACTTACAATCGAGCCGGCCAAACAACATGGAGCCGGCTTCCCACGTCATTACCTGCCGCCCGTCTTCATGATTGCCCTGGAAGCCGGCTCCATGCCAGCAGAATCACCGATATCGGCTCTGGGTATCAGTGAGTACCGAAAGCAAAATATCGGTACTCGATACTGAAAAACCGGTATCGGTGCATCCCATTAAAGAGGACTAAAATTATTTAAAATATTAACCCGTGCAGTGGGGCTACCCTTTGCACTTCAAGGGTTAACGTTTTGGTGTAGGCGTCAGAAAGCAAAAGAGATATACTCGCCTGATCCTCAGTCCTGCAGCAGCCAGCGCTCACCTCTCCCCCGTGCTCCTGCTTGTGCTATGTCCCTCGGCATCCTCACGTCTAATAGACTGGATCAGACCTGATGATGTCACGGCTCTTTAGACCGCATTCGATTTTCACAAAAAGGGGGCGGCACCAAAGGCACCTTTTATAGTTCCCCCTTGAGGCCAGAACAGTTCAGTTTCCTCAAATCATGTTTGAAATAGCTTGCGGTTATCAGGCTGTCTATGGCCGCCTCTAGTCAGATAAAAGCTGAGTAATGTTCAGTAAATGCTGAGCCTCCATGAGTGAAAGAACTGAAATCCAAGAAATAAATTTGGCCCAGGAACAGTCAGGCTGGGGGTGAAAGAGCTAGATAATGCTGGACATCCTCCAGCCAGGAAATGAGGCGGGCTCTATCTGACTTGCGTCAGCTTCTAATGCACATTGTGAGAAGCTCCCAGTGTGTCAATAAAGTTGTATCAGACTAAACCTCTGTGCAAGAACTTTCTAAATTCCCTATGTATAATAATACAGTACTACATATCTATGTTACTTGTATGTGTAATAAAACAAATAATATTATATAGAAAACAATTCAATTTGGGTCCTGTGAATATCTGTGAATGTTCATTTTGTGCCAACAATAACAATCACAAAGCGTTCTTATACATTTTCTTTTCAGGTACCCCCTTTTATCACATGACAATGACTGGGTCTAGCAATTGGCTGGTAGACCTGAGTACTGCATCATGGAAGGAGGTCACATGCTCCCCAGACCCCCTTTCATCATATGACAGTGTTTGGGCCTATTGACTGACCAGTAGGCTTGAGCACTGCATCATGGGAGGAGGTCACATGCTCCCCCATAACCACCTTTCATCATATGACAGTGTTTGGGCCTAGAAACTGGCTGGTAGAACTGAGCACTGCATCATGGGAGGAGGTCACATGCTCCCCCAGACACCTTTTCATCATATATCAATGTTTAGGCCTAGCAATTGGCTGGTAGACCTGAGCAATGCATCATGGGAGGAGGTCACATGCTCCCCCCGACGCCTTTTTATCATATCACAGTGTTTGGGCCTAGCAATTGGCTGGTAGACCTGAAGCATGTTCAGTCGCTAAGCCGTTTGCGAGTGCTGAGTTAACAAACCGCCACTGAACACTGTACTCCAAGCCAGCGCTCAGCACTCGCAGCGGAAGTGAATGCGCATGCAGAGTGCGGAGTGTGATGGTGAAGATGGGGTCAGAGCGCCAGCGGCCATTTTAACTGTGGGCACACCCTGCAGTGCTGGAGAAAGGTGCCTGAACCCCGATGAAGGAAATCAATTCAGTGTGGGAACCTACAATTAAATTCTTTGGTGGACGAGCGCACCAAATAATCATTGGAAAATAGTATTTATTAGTCAAAAATATTATCTTCCTCCATTTTGCTTAGCACGGTGCAGCTGAAGTGTTGAAGCGGCTGCAGCGAACTGAAGTACTGCAGAACAGCTACTCAGCGCTTGGCTAAGGAACTGAATGCGCCTCTGAGCAGTGCATCATGGGAGGAGGTCACATGCTTCCACATACCCCCTTTCATCATATGACAGTGTTTGGGCCTAGCAATTGGTTGGTAGACCTAAGCAGTGCATCATGGAAGAAGGTCACATGCTTCCCCATACCTGGAAGTGTTGGGAATTTAGCAGTGGCACCTAAATAAGGAGAACTGGAGAGGCGAGTAAAACTGGTTGCAGGGAGGCTCTACACGCAGAAAGGGTCCCTCTAACCGTCCAGCATGGTGAAGGGTGACCCCAATACCTATACGCAGCTGATCTTTGTCTGTGATGTTTTCCAGGCTGGTCTTGAAGACGGTGAGGTAGGCGGCTCGGCAAGCAGCATAGAAATTCTCATCCTCCTCCTTTTGGGCTTTCTGGCTCTCTATCCGCTCATCGGATGAGTACAATCTTCTCGTAAGTGACGAGGAACTTCCATGAAGATTCTCCATCCTGAAAAAGACAAAAATATTACTAGTGGAAACCAGGACCAGGCAATGCGACTGTATCCCCCAGTCTGCTGCAGGCAGGAGGAAGCATTTGCTCAGTCTCCCCTCCCCAGTGATCAGTCTGCTGCAGGCAGGAGGAAGCATTTCCTCAGTCTCCCCTCCCCAGTGATCAGTCTGCCGCAGGCAGGAGGAAGCATTTCCTCAGTCTCCTGCAGGCAGGAAGAAGCACAGTACTTCCCCTTACGATGCCTTAATTTGTGTCGGCAGATTTGTATCTGCCTAAAAATCTAACTCACAGATGTGTCAAATATGTTTTATAATATGTGTCATATATATAAAACAACAACGCAGCAGCCAATGTGAGCGAAGCACAGCCTGCCGTATGACCCTAATGTGACACCCGGCCTCCTGCGCCTCATCTGCCGTGGTGCACAAAGTCTTGTGATGCTGCAGCAATAACATTTTCACATGCTGCCTCTTTGATGTACCATCTGCACCGTTTGATCCGCGCCGCCGTGTGTTTTGTTCCGCCGCAGGCGTTTGTTGTCTGTTTATCTTGGGAATTGCTTTCTGATCCCATCAGCTTCATGAAATGGCCGAGGGTTTCCTTTGATTGTGCGTTTCGTATCACTTTCAGTCACGTGATGGGATATTTTGGGAGGACAATTAAGGTGGCACAGTGTTGTGATTGAGTTGTTGACATCTCGGATATCATTTAAATTGTTATAATGCTTCAATTAAACCGTTATAGGTACAAAGACACCAAAAATCAGTGATAGGGGATTCATAAATGTGTCTTTTATATATAAACTTTATAAAAAAAACTAGAAAAATAAAAAATTCCACTAAACAATACCGGCATCAGTCACATAATGGAACCAGTTCCTAGCAGGCTTATTGGTAATGCCCAAGTCCTGTGTGGCCCATTCTCTATACCCACCACCCCGTTTCCAGCACCCCCACATACCTCTTCTTCCTCAGCCCCGTCCTATGACGCTGTGGCTCCTCATCCTCTAGCGGTGTCCTGAATGCTGCAGAGAGTGGCGCCATCGAATGATATAGCATTGCTTTCTAATGCAGCCTTTCGCCACCGGGCTTTCCTGGAACCCTGAGGTTCCTCCTGAGGTTGCTTGGGGCTCCTTTATAAGAGAACAATGGCAGACCAATCTCCTGCCTAAACTGACCACCAAGGTAAGGGGTCACTTTCACACTGACCACAAATTCAAGGGGTCACTAAAACACTGATCACTAATTTAAGGGGTCATTACCACAGTGACCACCAAGGTAAGGGGTCACATCTCCACTGACCACCAATCTGAGGCGTTACTTCTATACTGACCACCAATGTAAGGGGTCACTACTACAATCATTACTAATGTAAGGGGTCACCTCTTTAGAGACCAGCAACGTTAGGGTCACTTTTATAGAGATCACCAATGTAAGGGGTCGCACCAATGTAAGGGGTCACTACCGCACTGACCACTAATGTTAGGGATTACTTGCACAGTGACACCACCATTAGGTGTCACTTCTATAGAGACCACCAATCTTAGAGGTAATTCTATAGAGACCACCAATGTTAGGGGTCACTTCTATAGAGACCACCAATATAGAGGATTACTTCCACACTGACCATCAAGTTAAGAGGTCACTTCTAAAGAGACCACCAATGTTAGAGGTCACTTCTATATAGACCAGCAACGTTAGGCTCACTTCTATATAGACCAGCAACGTTAGGGTCACTTCTATATAGACCAGCAACGTTAGGGTCACTTCTATAGAGACCACCAATATAGAGGATTACTTCCACACTGACCATCAAGTTAAGAGGTCACTTCTAAAGAGACCACCAATGTTAGAGGTCACTTCTATATAGACCAGCAACTTTAGGGTCACTTCTATAGAGATCACCAATGTAAGGGGTCGCACCAATGTAAGGGGTCACTACCGCACTGACCACTAATGTTAGGGATTACTTGCACAGTGACACCACCATTAGGTGTCACTTCTATAGAGACCACCAATCTTAGAGGTAATTCTATAGAGACCACCAATGTTAGGGGTCACTTCTATAGAGACCACCAATATAGAGGATTACTTCCACACTGACCACCAATATAGAGGATTACTTCCAAAGAGACCACCAATGTTAGGGGTCACTTCTATAGAGACCACCAACATAGAGGATTACTTCCACACTGACCACCAATGTAAGAGGTCACTTCCAAAGAGACCACCAATGTTAGAGGTCACTTCTATATAGACCACCAATGTTAGAGGTCACTTCTATATAGACCACCAATGTAAGAGGTCACTTCTATATAGACCACCAATGTAAGAAGTCACTTCTATATAGACCACCAATGTAAGAAGTCACTTCTATATAGACCACCAATGTAAGAGGTCACTTCTATATAGACCACCAATGTAAGAAGTCACTTCTATAGAGACCACCAATATAGGGGGTTACTTCCACACTGACCACCAATGTAAGGGGTTCACTTTCCTCTTGAATCAGCCAAAATTCAAACTGAGGGTGGCCCTATCAGCACTACCCAACTTGACAAAAGTGAAAAATGGACTGATCCCGGGTGCTGCAGCCACCTGAATACAACAGCCACCAGAGCAGATAACACAGCGTGAATGGAGAAGTTTATTGATCTCGTCTTGTTCATCCCGCGGGTTGAGCGAGAGAAATCTAGCCGTGTATAGCTAGTCTCAGACTAGACTGCATTGGTCACCTACATGCGGGACGGCATCTGCATATCCTTCAACCTCTAAAGCTGGCCACACATCCACAGCGTGCACTGATGCGTTGGCCCTTAAGGCAGTTAATTCACAATGCACGGGTCCTGAATGCACAAACCAATGCACCTGCACTATATTTA